CCGTTACCTCACTGAAACCCTCTTTGTTTATTCACGCTGTATACTGTTAAATCCAAGATGACTTTGAGCTCTGTGGGGCATGGACTGTCTGTGTGTTATGTTTCAGAGTAGCAGCTGTGTTAGTCTGTATCCATAAAAAGAAAAGGCGTACTTGTGGCACCTTAGAGACTAACAAATTTATTAGAGCATAAGCTTTCGTGAGCTACAGCTCATTTCATCAGATGCATACAATGGAAAATATAGTGGGGAGATTTTATATACACAGAGAACATGAAACAATGGGGGTTATTATACAGACTATAACAAGAGTGATCAGGAAAGGTGAGCTATTACCAGCGGGGGTGGGGTGTTTTGAGTGATAATCAAGGTGGGCCATTTCCAGCAGTTTCCAAGAACAGTAGGAGGGGAAATAAACAAGGGGAAATAGTTTTACTTTGTGTAATGACACATCCATTCCCAGTCTTTATTCAAGCCTAAGTTAATTGTATCCAGTTTGTGTGTTATGTTGTGTTTGTACATTGTGCACAAAGGGGTTCTGGTCTATGCCTGGGGCTCCTAGGTGCTACCATAATACAAGTAAATAATAAAACTAACATTTGTATAGTGCTTAGTGCAGTGGGGTCTCCTGACTGGGGTCTTTAGATATTACTGCAATCAAACTAACGTCGCAGGAATACAATATTGCTCTTTTAAAAAACATTCTTGGGATTTAAAAAGACAGCGCATGTAGTTCCTTATTTAAGTTTGAATCATGTGTCTTTCCTCATTACTATCAAAAAAATCATTCGTAAACAACATGTCTGATCTTTCAAAAATATTTAATTACCCGCCCATATCCAGGTGTCCACTAAATTTAGACAACAGTAATGGGCCCATGCCAAACAAGAGCCTTCAAATTGCTAAAAGGAAACAAAGGAATTGCAAAACTTCATTTGTTTCTTAGGCTGCATGATGGGGCAGTGTTTCTTAAAAACCTGCTGCAAAGGAAGAGATACCCAGAGCACCAGTCCTAGCTCTTCCAAAGAACTGTAGCCAAGTGATGCACAAACCCCACTGTTTTTCAGAGCTGGAATGGTGGTGGGAAGCAGAGAGAGAAGAGTACGACGGACTACTAACTACTGGCTCCCACAGGGCAGGGGGCGCTAACGTCATAGGTTTACAGAGTAACCTGAACAGAACTGCTTCTTTCCAGCCTAGTAGAGAGATTGGAGAAACATTTGCAGGACAACAGCTTAGTCCGACGGAATCACAGGTTAGAAATAGAGGCAGAAGAGCAGCCCTTCCGCGTGCATCGCTTCTATGGAAGAGGCTGCCTGAAGGCCGCGCTCAACTCCTCATTGTGTGTGGGGGAGGGAGGCAGGCGTGCGGCCCCCACCGCGCGGTTGCCTGAGCAAGGAGGCCGCGCGGCCCCTCACAGTGAAAAGGAGGCCGGCTACAGGGAGTCCTGGCAGAAAGAAGTATGGGCTCTTCTAGAGTCTGGTAGGGGGCCGGTGCTACATGACTCCTTCATCCCTGCCATCCTATCATAGGGGGCCTCAGAAAGACCGGGGCCAAGGGGAGCGAAGCCCGGGAAGCTGCAAATCCGCGGCCCCTCACGCTGCGGCACCGGAAGAGTCTGGAGACCTGGGGAGGGGGAAAGCGTGAAGTCCCGCTGCGCAGGGGAAGGGCTTGGGGGAGCGAGCCGGCGAGGGGAGCCCGGCCCCACGCTGGGGAAGAAGGCTCGGGGGAAACAAGGCTCAAGACTTCGAGACACCCTGCCGGGTTCCAACTTACAACGGCATCGTCTCTCCGGCTCCCCCGCTGCCGCCGCCTCTTCTTCGTCCCCCTCCTCCTCCCCCGCTGCCGCCTCCGGACCGGTCACTCGTTCCGCCGGGAAGCGGAAGCCGTGAGCATGATATGGGCCGGAGTCGGGCCCTAGAGGGAGGAGGGAGCTGTTCGCTGGGCCTAGCCGCTGCCGCCGCTTCTCCTTCCTCTTCCCCTCCGGCCTCCTCCTAACATGGCGCCCGGGCGCTACCACAGCAACGTTCTAGAACGGGGGCCTACGCAACGACGCGCTCCCCTCGTACGCACGACACGCAGAGCCTCCGGCGCATGCCCACTGGACCCACAGCTAGCCCACAACACGGGATTTGTAGTTCTAGGCAGGGAGAGGAGAGCAGCGATGGGTTTTGAAAACAAAGTTCTAACGGCCGCCAGAAAGGGGAAGCGCACGCGCAGGAGAGTCGGCCAACGAAGCTTGGTGGGCGAGTCCTGAGGTGGGGGGGGGCTCCCGGTGAGCCTGTCGTTCCGTTCCCTTTGAGGACGGTGTCCCCGCGAGGCAGGGAAGTGTTGCGGAGCGGTGGTAGGTGACCTCTCCCCTGGGCGGAGGGCGCTGTGCCGGCCTCCCCGGGTGACAGTAGCCGGGCTCTCGGCAGGCTGCGAACGGACAGCCGCGCCCTGAGCACAAGTGTAGGAGCGCGCTCGGCGCGGAGGGAACAGCCTTCCGGACAGCGCGTTGTAGGCGAGCTTACAGTGAGGTCCCTGCCCCCGGGGATGGGCAGAACTGCGGCTAGCTCTGGGTAGCAAAGGGGCAGCCTGTGCCGAGCGCTCCTCCTGCGGCGTGTCGGGGTTTGCAAATCAGACCGCCTTCCCGTTTCGTAGCATCCGAGACTGCACACCCACACGAGACTCCTGTCCCCGCTGGGGAGTGAGTAGGTCTGACGGGACACGTTTTACACATAGTCGGAGTCGCAGCCGTGTTAGTCTGTATTCGCAAAAAGAAAAGGAGGACTTGTGGCACCTTAGAGACTAACCAATTTATTTGAGCATAAGCTTTCCTGAGCATCCGATGAAGTGAGCTGTAGCTCACGAAAGCTCATGCTCAAATAAATTGGTTAGTCTCTAAGGTGCCACAAGTACTCCTTTTCGTTTTACACATAGAGAGAAACAAGGCAAAGCCACGCACACAGAGAGGGAGTCATTGTCTGATTCAAAACTAGGACTCCAGCCATCCATCCTGCTTCTCATGCTGGTGCTCAGACTACTCGGTTTCTCTTTTTATGCTCTCCATACAGATCAAAGTTTGTATGGTCATGCCGTATGGAAGGTCCACCAAGCATATGTTGCATGGAACTCCGTTTTTGTACCTTGGAAAGTTGAAGGATTGAGTTCTCTCATTTTTTAAAAAAATTCCCTCCTAGATTTCTAACGTTTCAGCAGCAGTCACGTTAAGACGGTTTAAGAGAATTTAATGGTGTGGTATGAAACTTTGTTTTATTCACATAAACAAATCCTAATAAATATGGACTGCATAAGGAAGAAAGAAAACTCAGTTTATTGTCGCAAAGAACTATTAGTCTCTTTAGGGATTTATGCAGTAGAGTTTCTGCTGGGAAGAAGATAGTCAGTCTCAGTAAAGTCCAAACCAAAATTCACTTTTGATCAAGTTTTCTATCAAACACAGGTCTCTCACACTATAAGATTGTCTGAACGCTTCTAAAGACTTATTAAATATTTTAAAATACTTTAAAAATTGTCTCCAAATGAATCCCAGGTGAATGATAATTGGATTGGCTGTCAATGGGATTTTTAGATCCACAAAACATCTGTCTGTTTAGAATACAAGCATTGTTCCTGGCTCTGTCACTGACTTGGCACGTGACCTTGTGCAAGTTATGTTAGCATGCAGAAAAAGAGTTTTGTGTGTTTGAATGGGAACACAGTGAGAATTAATAGATAAAAGTCCTATATTAAAAATAAAATATTTTGCATTTATTATATGTAGTATTAATAGTTCATTATCCTTTTTAGAAATGTTAGATGTTTTTGTTTCTCTTTTCCTTTTCAAACAGCCCCCATAGGCATGCTTTCTGTTTAGGGATGGTATGGTGTTACATTTTCTATAATAAAAAATATTTGAAGATGAATACTATCAAAACCTCATCAGCTCAAGACAGATGGTTTATTTGGCCTTTTTGACAATATACATTAGGTCAATACAAAATCAAAATAACCAAATGAAAGCCTTCCAACTATTGTTGAGAAACTAACTGTGACCAACCCAGGAACTCTTTAGATTTTCCTTCAAGAAGTGCTTCTATGGGAATCTTAAAACAATTTAATAATGGTACAGAAATATTGAATATCCTTTGACTATTAAACCAAATATTGATAATACCAAAACAACACAGAAAATTAATGGCAGATCCATATTGGGTCACCAGGCATTTACCCAGTCACTTTAGTGGATTGGTATCCTTCCACATCTGGTACAAATGGCAACACTTTGTGTGCTCCACTGTCTGTTCTTGTGTAACAGGCAGAGGGTGTGAAGCCCAGGTCAGAATTACCACTTGCTCACTATGCCTCATGTAGGGTGCTCAAAACCCCTGGACTGAAAGCCTTTCTAGTGCCTTAACAGTCTCCTAATAAGCAGAGGAGAGGAAGCAGCTTTACACTTGGAGAGCAGTAGAAAGATAGTCCTTGATGCTCCTGTTTCCTTCCCTTTATCAGTAGCAGCAGCTGCCCCCTTTTCAAAGACTGGGGGAAAGAATCCCATAGCCTTGTTTCTTTCTTCCATTTTGCTAGAGAACCAGAAAAGAATTTGCTGGTGGTGCTAGTCATGTCAACTGCACTAGAGAATGGGAGGCAAGGAACATACTCCCAACAGTGCTGCCCTTCCATGGTGATGGAGTGGATTCTTTTGGACCACCATTTCAAATAGGTATATGCACAAATATTCTGATGTATATGTGCATAATTTAAGGTGTGGTCATAAACAGAGTATTTAGTGGAGTGCAAAGCTATCTACTGTACTATGAGCAGTAAAAGTAATATGTCAGAAATAAAAGTGAAAACTACACAAAGAAATATAAAGAAAATAGTTTCAATGTAATCAATTTTTTTGTAAAATACATTAGAAATGTTCTGCCTTTTCATTAGTGTGATGATGTGCTGGGGTTTTACATCTGTCAGTAGTCTTTCATTCCATTTCAGGATTGTTCTTGAAGAGATATTCTGCCTATAGACAAAAAAGATTGACAAAAAGTAAAGGTAACAGTTTTACAGACTCTAAGTGTTCAATTTTAAACTTCCCCAAATTAACAGAAGTTTAGAGGATGACGCCACTTTAAACAAAATCCAAGCTCCAAGATGGTAAAGCTGTAAGCCCTGATAGATATGCCATCAATTTCTATGACATTTTTTAATACTATCACCCCTCTTTACACAAAGTGTACAATTACTTCAAGCAAACAAAGATTGTATCACCTACTACTGAGGCCACATTGTCCTTCCCCATAAAGATGAAAATCCAGGAATGTGTACATCTTCTCATTTTTTTCCTTAATGTAGATCATAATTCTTATTCTTAATAGACTGAGAGCCCTCCCTTCTCCCTATAGATGGATATCATTCTGATTCTGTACATCACTGGGCAGAGAGCAACAATGTAAGGACATTATATACTGCCCACAGTAGCACAAAACGGATGCATTCATTCTAAGCCTTGACTAAGCCCTGGTCTACACTGCAAATTTATGTTGGTATAACTACGTCACTTAGGAGCGTAGAAAATTCACACCTGAGTGATGCAGTTATACTGACCAAACTCCCAGTATAGACAGTGCTATGTTGATAGGAGGGCTTCTCCCATCAATATAGCTTCACTAAGGCATAGAGTAGCTACACAAGCGAACTTACTGTGGTGCAGCTGTACTAGTGCAAGCTCTATAGTGTAGACATAGCCTAAGTGTTACAAGGGCGCAGCTGCAGCGCTCTTAAATGTAGATGAGCCCTTAGAGGAAGCATCTGTTAATATTTCCCCTTTCCTCCATGCAAATATATTTTATATATGGTTTAGTGGAAAATTAGGTAAGATCACCAGGATGGCAGTAATTCTGCTCATCCTCTTTTATGGCTCACTTGGGAGCTTGGCTGTGTGTTTGTGCAGGGTATTAAGGAGGCATAAGGCCCCTCCTTATTTCCCTGTTTGAGCAACCTGCTTTGGAGATCCTGTGTGGTGGGTAGGGAGTAGAAGCCCAACCTCCCATCCCAGTATACCAGCCAGTACAGCTCAGCTGATACAGAGGTTGAGCCAGGACCAAATTGTGAGAATCCCTCCCATACTCCTGGGCAGTGCAGCTACATGCCATCCCTTATTGGGTTGTTTCTAAGGTGCCAATCCAGTCCAAAAAGATTAGGTTTCTGTATGTTCTACTTTCATAACAACTCTTGGTCTCCTGAACAGTAGCAATTTGAGTTTGGGCCTCCTTCAGCTGCTGTTTAAGATAACTGGAATTTGCCACTGATGTCAACTGGAAGAGAACTGGGCTCTTTCTTTGATTTCATAAGCCTTTGCTATCTAAGCCGTGGTCTACACTAGGACTTTAGGTCGAATTTAGCAGCGTTAAATCGATGTAAACCTGCACCGTCCACACGATGAAGCCCTTTAGTTCGACTTAAAGGGGTCTTAAAATCGATTTCCGTACTCCACCCCGACAAGTGGATTAGCGCTTAAATCGGCCTTGCCGGGTCGAATTTGGGGTACTGTGGACACTATTCGACGGTATTGGCATCCGGGAGCTATCCCAGAGTGCTCCATTATGACCGCTCTGGACAGCACTCTCAACTCAGATGCACTGGCCAGGTAGACAGGAAAAGAACTGCGAACTTTTGAATCTCATTTCCTGTTTGGCCAGCCTGGCAAGCTGCAGGTGACCATGCAGAGCTCATCAGCAGAGGTGACCATGATGGAGTCCCAGAATCGCAAAAGAGCTCCAGCATGGACTGAACGGGAGGTACGGGATCTGATCGCTGTATGGGGAGAGGAATCCGTGCTATTAGAACTCCGTTCCAGTTTTCGAAATGCCAAAACCTTTGTCAAAATCTCCCAGGGCATGAAGGACAGAGGCCATAACAGGGATCCGAAGCAGTGCCGCGTGAAACTTAAGGAGCTGAAGCAAGCCTACCAGAAAACCAGAGGGGCGAACGGCCGCTCCGGGTCAGAGCCCCAAACATGCCGCTTCTATGATGAGCTGCATGCCATTTTAGGGGGTTCAGCCACCACTACCCCAGCCGTGTTGTTTGACTCCTTCAATGGAGATGGAGGCAACACGGAAGCAGGTTTTGGGGACGAAGAAGATGATGATGAGGAGGAGGAGGAGATTGTAGATAGCTCACAGCAAGCAAGCGGAGAAACCGGTTTTCCCGACAGCCAGGAACTGTTTCTCACCCTGGACCTGGAGCCAGTACCCCCCGAACCCACCCAAAGCTGCCTCCTGGACCCGGCAGGCAGAGAAGGGACCTCCGGTGAGTGTACCTTTTAAAATACTATACATGGTTTAAAAGCAAGCATGTGAAAGGATTAATTTGCCCTGGCATTCACGGCTCTCCTGGATGTACTCCCAAAGCCTTTGCAAAGCCTTATTGCGTCCTTCATGGTAGGACACTTTACCACTCCAGGCCAGTAACACGTACTCGGGAATCATTGTACAACAAAGCATTGCAGTGTATGTTTGCTGGCATTCAAACAACATCCGTTCTTTATCTCTCTGTGTTATCCTCAGGAGAGTGAGATATCATTCATGGTCTCCTGGTTGAATAGGATGCTTTTCTTCAAGGGACATTCAGAGGAGCCCGTTGCTGCTGAGCTGTTTGCCTGTGGCTGAACAGAAATGTTCCCTGCTGTTAGCCACTGGGAGAGGGGAGGGTTGAGGGGGTAGCCACGCGGTGGGGGGAGGCAAAATGCGATCTTGTAATGAAAGCACATGTGCTATGTATGTAATTTTAACACCAAGGTTTACCCTGAAAGACTGTAGCCACTGTTTTATAAAATGTGTCTTTTTAAATACCGCTGTCCCTTTTTTTTTCTCCACCAGCTGCATGTGTTTCAATGATCACAGGATCTTCTCCTTCCCAGAGGCAAGTGAAGATTAGAAAGAAAAAAAAATGCACTCGTGATGAAATGTTCTCTGAGCTCATGCTGTCCTCCCACACTGACAGAGCACAGACGAATGCGTGGAGGCAAATAATGTCAGAGTGCAGGAAAGCACAAAATGACCGGGAGGAGAGGTGGTGGGCTGAAGAGAGTAAGTGGCGGGCTGAAGACAGGGCTGAAGCTCAAATGTGGCGGCAGCGTGATGAGAGGAGGCAGGATTCAATGCTGAGGCTGCTAGAGGACCAAACCAGTATGCTCCAGTGTATGGTTGAGCTGCAGCAAAGGCAGCTGGAGCACAGACTGCCACTACAGCCCCTGTGTAACCAACCGCCCTCCTCCCCAAGTTCCATAGCCTCCACACCCAGACACCCAAGAACGCGGTGGGGGGGCCACCGGCCAACCAGCCACTCCGCCACAGAGGATTGCCCAAAAAAAAAAAAGGCTGGCATTCAATAAATTTTAAAGTTGTAAACTTTTAAAGTGCTGTGTGGCATTTTCCTTCCCTCCTCCACCACCCCTCCTGGGCTACCTTGGTAGTCATCCCCCTATTTGTGTGATGAATGAATAAAGAATGCATGAATGTGAAGCAACAATGACTTTATTGCCTCTGCAAGCAATGATTAAAGGGAGGAGGGGAGGGTGGTTAGCTTGCAGGGAAGTAGAGTGAACCAAGGGGCGGGGGGTTTCATCAAGGAGAAACAAAGAGAACTTTCACACCGTAGCCTGGCCAGTTATGCAACTTGTTTTCAAAGCTTCTCTGATGCATACCGCACCCTCCTGTGCTCTTCTAACCGCCCTGGTGTCTGGCTGCGCGTAACCAGCAGCCAGGCGATTTGCTCAACCTCCCACCCCACCATAAACATCTCCCCCATACTCTCACAGATATTGTGGAGCACACAGCAAGCAGTAATAACAGTGGGAATATTGGTTTCGCTGAGGTCTAAGCGAATCAGTAAACTGCACCAGCGCACCTTTAAACATCCAAATGCACGTTCTACCACCATTCTGCACTTGCTCAGCCTGTAGTTGAACAGCTCCTGACTACTGTCCAGGCTGCCTGTGTACGGCTTCATGAGCCATGGCATTAAGGGGTAGGCTGGGTCCCCAAGGATACATATAGGCATTTCAACGTCCCCAACAGTTATTTTCTGGTCTGGGAATAAAGTCCCTTCCTGCAGCTTTTGAAACAGACCAGAGTTCCTGAAGATGCGAGCGTCATGTACCTTTCCCGGCCATCCCACGTTGATGTTGGTGAAACGTCCCTTGTGATCCACCAGGGCTTGCAGCACTATTGAAAAGTACCCCTTGCAGTTTATGTACTCGCCGGCTTGGTGCTCCGATGCCAAGATAGGGATATGGGTTCCGTCTATGGCCCCACCACAGTTAGGGAATCCCATTGCAACAAAGCCATCCACTATGACCTGCATATTTCCCAGGGTCACTACCCTTGATATCAGCAGATCTTTGATTGTGTGGGCTACTTGCATCACAGCAGCCCCAACAGTAGACTTGCCCACTCCAAATTGATTCCCAACTGACCGGTAGCTGTCTGGCATTGCAAGCTTCCACAGGGCTATCGCCACTCGCTTCTCAACTGTGAGGGCTGCTCTCATCTTGGTATTCATGCGCTTCAGGGCAGGGGAAAGCAAGTCACAAAGTTCCATGAAAGTGCCCTTACACATGCGAAAGTTTCGCAGCCACTGGGAATCGTCCCAGACCTGCAACACTATGCGGTCCCACCAGTCTGTGCTTGTTTCCTGAGCCCAGAATCGGCGTTCCACAGCATGAACCTGCCCCATTAGCACCATGATGCATGCATTGGCAGGGCCCATGCTTTCAGAGAAATCTGTGTCCATGTCCTGATCACTCACGTGACCGCGCTGACGTCGCCTCCTCGCCCGGTATCACTCTGCCAGGTTCTGGTGCTGCATATACTGTTGGATAATGTGTGTGGTGTTTAATGTGCTCCTAATTGCCAAAGTGAGCTGAGCGGCCTCCATGCTTGCCTTGGTATGGCGTCCGCACAGAAAAAAGGCGCGGAACGATTGTCTGCCGTTGCTCTGACGGAGGGAGGGGCGACTGACGACATGGCTCACAGGGTTGGCTTCAGGGAGCTAAAATCGACAAAGGGGGTGGCTTTACATCAAGGAGTATTTCAGGCAGGACTTCACGGAGGGTTCCAATAAGAAATGGTGCACCTAAGTTATTGTTCTTATTGGAACAAGGAGGTTAGTCTGGCCTCTGATTGATACACGGCTAGATTTACCTTGCTGCACCTTCTCTGTGAGTGACTGCAGTGTGACCTAGAGGAATGAGTCCCCTAGACGGGGGGGCCGGGGGGTGGAAAGCAAATGAGTACAAAACAAATCTGGTCTATTTCTTGTTTTGATCCACTCCATCTATCTTTTACATCTTTGGCTGTCAGCAGACTGTGCAGAAGGACTGCATGCCATCCACATCTCATGGCTGCCCGGCAGAAGATGATGCAATAGGACTGCTAGCAGTCCGTATCGCCTGTCCGCTCACCATAAGACGGTTCAATAGGACTGACTGCAGGACTAAAGAGAATGACCTGGTCAAGTCACTCCAAATTTAGTCCCTGCGCCCATGTCTGCCCAGGCGCTCCTGGCCGATGTGGCCAGGAGCACGTCGGACATGACGCTGATGGCTACCAGTCGTACTGTACCGTCTGCTGCCACAAGGCAAGGGGTTGATGCTGCTGTGTAGCAATGCAGTACCACGTCTGCCAGCACCCAGGAGACATAGGGTGACGGTTACCTGAGCGGGCTCCATGCTTGCCGTGGTATGGCGTCTGCACAGGTAACTCAGGAAAAAAGGCGCGAAACGATTGTCTGCCCTTGCTTTCACGGAGGGAGGGAGGGAACGGGGCCTGACAATATGTACCCAGAACCACCCGCGACAATGTTTTAGCCCCATCAGAGCGCTCCATTGTGACTGCTCTGGACAGCACTCTCAACTCAGATGCACGATTGTTTGCTGTTGCTCTGATGCAGGGAGGGACGACTGAGGACACGGCTTACAGGGTTGGCTTCAGGGAGCTAAAATCAACAAAGGGGGTGCCTGTACATCAAGGAGTATTTCAGGCAGGACTTCACGGAGGGTTCAAATAAGAAATGGTGCACCTAAGTTATTGTTTTTATTGGAACAAGGAGGTTAGTCTGGCCTCTGATTGATACATGGCTAGATTTACCTCTCTGCACCTTCTCTGTGAGTGACTGCAGTGTGACCTAGAGAAATGAGTCCCCTAGACGGGGGGGGGGGAGGAAGCAAATGAGTACAAAACAAATCTGGTCTATTTCTTGTTTTGATCCACTCCATCTATCTTTTACATCTTTGGCTGGCAGCAGACGGTGCAGAAGGACTGCATGCCATCCACATCTCATGGCTGCTCGGCAGAAGATGGTGCAATATGACTGTTATCCATCCTCATCTCTTGCCTGCCCAGCAGAAGATGGTACAGTACGACTGCTAGCAATCCGTATCGCCTGCCTGCTCACCATAAGACGGTTCAATAGGACTGACTGCAGGACTAAAGAGAATGACCTGGTCAAGTCACTCCAAATTTAGTCCCTGCGCCCATGTCTGCCCAGGTGCTCCTGCCCGATGTGGCCAGGAGCACCTCGGACGTGACGATGACGGCTACCAGTCATATTGCACCGTCTGCTGCCAGAAGGCAATGGGTTGCTGTTACTGTGTAGCAATGCAGTACCGTGTCTGCCAGCACCCAAGAGACATAGGGTGACGGTTACCTGAGCGGGCTCCATGCTTGCCGTGGTATGGCGTCTGCACAGGTAACTCAGGAAAAAAGGCGCGAAACGATTGTCTGCCCTTGCTTTCACGGAGGGAGGGAGGGAACGGGGGCCTGACGATATGTACCCAGAACCACCCGTGACAATGTTTTAGCCCCATCAGGCATTGGGATCTCAACCCAGAATTCCAATCGGCAGTGAAGACTGTGGGAACTGTGGGATAGTTACCCACAGTGCAACACTCCGGAAGTCGACGCTTGCTTCAGTACTGTGGAAGCACTCCGCCGAGCTAATGCACTTAATGCACTTAGAGCATTTTCTGTGGGGACACACACACTCGAATATATAAAACCGATTTCTAAAAAAACGACTTCTATAAATTCGACCTTATTCCGTAGTGTATACATACCCAAAGAGATGCTACTGTTTTAATGCACTTTTCCTTTGGGCCTTGTCAAAGGTATCTGAGAAAACAATAATTATCTTACCAGGAAGTCAACTGGATCATCAGGCCTGATCTTGCAACATTCATTCAGCCCTTGCATAAGTGTTGGCATGACATTCTTCATTAAGTAGTTCCTTAGAGGAATGGACTGGGCTTCAAGTAATTCCTGTTCCTGCCTCTTCACTTCCTCTAGACATTTATTCTAGAAGTAATAATAATTTTTAAAAATTTCAATTCTATTAAATAGCATTTGCCAAAAATCTAGAATGGTGGCTTGTAGGAAAAACATGATCAGTTAGAAATACTGGTAATTTCTTTAAAATGTTTGAACAATTTGTACCTGGGTTCTTGTATTAGAAGGATGGGGCACAAGGGTGGGAGGGAAGGAGGAGAGAAGAAAAGGATTCAGTCCAGTGAAGAATGAGACCATCTCCCTTCGACTGTTTCTTTTGATTTTCCTCTCTATCTAAAGTCTAAAGATGTTTTCCATTGCTCCTATTGCCAAAAGGTGAAAATGTTTGCAAGTCCCAGGCAAAAAACCAACAGTTCTTTTTGCATGTGCCAGAAACTTCTTGAGTCCTTTTTGGGCACTGTTTTGAACTTCACAGAGAACCCTTTGATCTTACTGGATGGTTCTACAGAACAGCTCATACAAGGTTGTGGTTTTTTTTTTAAAGTGCCAATGGAGTTGCACCTTCTTACAGCTGCTGAAGTTAGCCTTAAGTTTGTTACAGTCCTTTCTTTCCCAGCAGTAACCTGGGTTATTAGTGGATATAGCAAACAGTAGAAACTCTGGAGAACTCAGCAGATGGCTCTTTCCCATTCAAAAACTGGCACAAGAGTCAGGTTCATACAGTAATGGCTGATGAATGGGTGAGAGGAGGCCTAGATGCCGGCCTTCTAAATCAAAGAAGCAGATATTTCAGGTTTCCAAGTCCACATGGTTGACATACCTCAGGAGTTTGCAGTGTTGTAGCAGTGTTGGTCCCAGCATATGAGAGACAGGGTGGGTAAGAATACCCTTTTAGTGAACCAACTTCTGTTGGTGAAAGAAACACGCTTTCAAGCTTACACAGACTCTTCAGGTCACAAAAGAGCTCTGTGTAAGCTTGAAAGTTTGTCTTTCACCAACAGAAGTTGGTCTACTAAGATATCACCTCAGCCACCTTGTCTGTAATAGCTCAGAAGTGACATTTGACAAGCTTTGGATGTGGTTTGTGAGCATGGACATAGATGGCATGAGAACCTTTACCAAGAGGGAAATGGAGGTGTTGAATGTAGCCTTCTTCTTGTTACTGTCCTTAGAGCAGATTGATAGC